TATATATATATATATATATATATATATATATATATATATATATATATATAGGATTCCATGTATTCTGTAGTTTGTGCTGAGTCTGTTTCGATGTTTTCATGTCAGCACGTTTCATACAATAACCATCGTGATTGGAATAAAATAACACTTAGATGTTAGCTTAAATACCGGTTAATGAACTTCCTCCAAAATAGGTCTTTTAAACAATTAAGTGTAGAGACTGCCACGACCGACTTTCTATTAACCTCGGCATTGATCAAGTGATTTTCTTCGTATTTTTGTTGAGCAAACGCGAGGTGTTACTATTCTTTGTTCACGATTAAGCTGACGTTTCGGCGAATTTCGCCTTCTTCAGAGCCTGGAAAGGTCAAGTTGACAGCAACTCACTCGGCCAGACGCCTCCATAACCAAACAAAGAAACTCCAAACCAAGATTTCAATCACTTTGAACACAGCTCTGCACACTCACCGCTTTCTCTAAGTGTAGAGAGTGTTTTTCTGGTCTGACTCCTACCATTTAAGTCTGCTTTTGATGAGCAATCAAATATATATACATATATATATATATATATATATACATAATGCGCCAAGAAAAAAACTCTAGAACGCGCTAAACTCAATATAGACACTATAGTGTCCATACTGGCCTTTATGTCCAGATCGCATGGGCACTAAGATAGCCATACGAGCGGAATGGATTAATGAATCAACAAAACGCCCATCAAAATTACTGGAAGAGTGTTCAGCATTGAAACTTAGAAATGCGTCGTGCATCGAATTCCATTCGTAGTATCCTAGAGATGGATGATTGCATGCTTCACCTGCTTTATTGTGACATGCAATGCCCTACTAATGTATGAAATCCTTAGATTTTCTCTTTTTCCCGTAGGCAAATCGACTTCGATTTTACTGAACTCAGAGTGATTGGGAAACCTGGGGAATTTTGTGCGCAAGCGGGATAGAACCAAAGGTCATGTTATTCGCAATGGCCTCTGTAAATATCGCATTCTGCGCGCCGACATACACTAAAAGGAATGAAAATTTTTGATTTAAAACTGATAGTGTTTTCATATTTTTCTTTTGGTACGTGAGAGCACCTATTCCTTAGTGTTTGCAGTTTCGTTCAGCTGTTTCTAATATTCGTATTGTTAGTCCTAGAAATAAACATTTTTAGCACAGTTCACTTCTAATGCTTTGTTTTTATTGCAGGGTATGGGAACGGCATTGTCGTTCCCAGCTACTGGTCTTATTGCTTCACAATGGTCAACAGTAAGAGCAAGTGGCACCTTCATGGCTATTCTTTCATGTCATGCACAGGTAAGTACGGAAGGAGAAGTATCAAAATAAGCAAAACGGAAAGATGGGAAGAAAAAATCACTAGATGAGAAACAAGAAAGGATGACATGCAGCACTGTTTCCTTAGTGTACTAGTGGCCTAATAGTTTGGCTGAAACCTCACCGACTTGAGTAAAAGAAAGTGGAGTTAAATGTGACCCACGGAAACCGTTTCACACTTTGACAAAAATGCATACTTTTTTTTTTGTTACACTTTCAAAGTTTGTCTTCCAATGAGTAGCGAATAAATGTATTAATACAACTATAAACAGTAAAAAATGTGTGTTGATGCTATGTGGCCCATAACGTCACAGTACTAACGCATTAGCGACGAGGTGACCTCCATAGGAGTCATTTGTGATGGGACATTATGGCCGCGATGACTCTATGGAAGTAATTTTTGTCTGCTGATTTATTGTCGCGCTCAGAGCCTTTTTTTACGAACCTTGCAGTCGATCGATAGGTTATCCAAAACAGATGGTCTGGCGGACGTTGTTCGGTAAGAACTGTATTCTACACGTAGAACTGTACAAAAACCTTTTCTCTAACGAGTTTGTTGACTCGACTCTTTGACAGGCAACTGACTATTATTACAATTCCCATAGCTGTAATCATAGTTGTTGTAAAAAAAAAGAAGATGTAAAAAATAGTACAACAGACCTAAGGCTTTGATGTTATAGCTTTGCTCAATTTTTGCTATGCCGGTGTCTGGGGCATTATGTGAGTCGTCGCTTGGATGGCCGGCCGTGTTCTACTTACAGGTAAGCTCATGAACAGCTGTAGTTACTTTAGCTATGAAAAATAGGCGAATTTATTTGCACTGTATAAAGGATAAAAGGATAAAGCTCTTGCCGTTGATCAATCCCTGAGGGATGCCGCATGCATTCAACTTCATTAAGCATCGATTGGAGGTGATTGAATACATATCTCGTCTTTGCAATGACTCGCGGTGGTCAACCGATGTATCGAGTCAGTGCTGCTATCCTCCCAGACAAGTGTGGTACCAATTTACCGACCCCAGCCGAATGTAGGGCTTCGTGGGCCATGGGCGCGTGCGTCGATTCCGCGTATGTGCTGCAGGGCGTCTCCGACCACTGCACCACGCGCGCCCTTTGTACAGTATGCGATAAATGATACCGTTCTCATGAACAGAATGAAACATGAGTGCATGTATAATTGTACTGTGCAAAAATTCCCCAGATATATTTAGATTGGTGAAAAATACAGAATGCTCTGTTTAAAAATTTTCGCCACTTTAGGGCGTCTTATCAGCATTAGCATTCTCGACGTTTTTCCTCTTCTACAAAGATGACCCAGCAATGCACCGGTATGTAAAGTTTACAAGAAAAATATCAGTTAATTTCTAACATATTCAGTTTTAGGAACGAAGTAAATAAGGGAAAATCTCTAATTTTTCATCTAGTAGCTTCTAATTTTTTATGGCAAGGTATTAAGAGGTTGTTTAACGATGAGCACGAAAGACAAGAGACTATAAATGCACGTCGTATAATACACACGTGCTCACTGGTTCAAGCTCACACCACGCGAATATAGTCCTGAATTCATCCGGGGGACGGCAAATTGTTGTCAGACTTGTCTGCAAAAGCTCTTTCTGATTCCAAAACGTCAACAGCAACTTCTGTAGTGATGATCTAGGACTGTCCTTCTCACCTCTATCACCTGTAGTCCCGTTGATCGTCGAGTGACTTGAGCGGGCGCCAGTAAATTTTCCATTTTTCGCTTTCGAGTGCAAGAGTAGCTCAGTGGCTTCTGCTCTCTCTAGGAACTTGTCAAACATCATATCTCCCTTCAACGCTTTTCGTGAAGAACTCTGACCATCGGGTCGGTGGTCTTCCTGCAGTACGTTTGACATCCCGAGGAATCCAGTCACAAACGGAACCTGTCCATCGGTTGTCATTCACACGCATTACGTGTCCGGTCCATCTTATCTTCGACTGTTTGGTGTACAGAACGGCATCTTTGATTTTGGATCGTTGACGCAGATCGGAACTTCGGATCCCATCCCTCACTTGTGTGAAACGGGCTACTCCTAGCATCGTCCTTTCAACTGCGCGCTCGATAACGCTGAGTGATTTTTCATCCTGCTTACTCAGCGGCCAAGTTTCTGACGCATACGTTAGGGCGGGAAGTACCGTTGAGTCGAAAAGGTGGGCACGGAGTCCGGTGTTCTTTGTCCTCTTCACTACATCCTCGATGGTCTCGAAAGCTCGCCAGGCCGCTCGTTTCCTTCGCTGCTCAGCTCTGCAGCTAAATCGTTCATTATATTGATTTCACGACCTAGATAGACATTACTGGAGCATTTGGAGTTATTCGTTCCGGTGAGCATGAATGGGGCATAAAAAACCAATCCGTTCCTCATGAACATCGTTTCTGTGAGATTTAGTCGATGACCAATCTTTCCACAGCCATTATCAAAGTTTACAAGCATACATTTCGCTTGGCTAATGGTTCGTGTTATAAGGACGATGTCATCAGCAAAGCGAAGGTGGTGTAACTGCCGATCATCGGTTTTCACTCCCATATTATCCCATTCTAATGTTCGCATGACCTTCTGGAGGGTGGTGGTAAATAATTTTGGCGGGATTGTATTGTCTTGGCTAACCCCTCTTTTGACGTCAGTGTTAATATCGTTGTAGAATGGTGATATTTTGGTTGTGAAATTTTTGTACAGCTCACGAAGAATCTTTATTTACTGAGTAGGGACGGGACTTCCTGACTATCAAAGGCTTCCATGACTGCTTTTATTTCAGTTGAATCAAAGGCCTTCTGTAAATCGATGAAAGTGAGACAGAGCGGTCTTTGTACTCTCGCGATTCTTCAATGAGCCTGTGTGGACGTGGTCCATCATACTAAATCCTTTTCGAAACCCCGCTTTCTCACATGGCTGCCCTTCGTCCAGTGTTCTGTCAATTCTGTTTAGGATTACTAGAGTGAAAAGTTTGTAGACGATAGACAGCAAACAAATAGGGCGGTAGTTGCCGATATCGTGTAGTTCACCTTTCTTCAACAATAACACGGTCTTGCTGGTCTTCCACTGAGTAGGGACCTTGCATTCAAAGAGGTAACGTGTGAAGACCCGAGCTAGTGTGCTTACGAGGACTGGTGGAAGGTTCTTCAGGTATTCAGGTGCTACCCGTCCGGACCTGGAGCTGTTCGATTTTTCACAGACGAAACGGCATGACAAATTTCGGAAGGGAGAACAGGTGGTACAACGTATCCATCCTCCTTTATTTCATGTGACGGTACATGGACATGGCTATCGAAGAGATCTGAGTAGTATTAGTGAATAATTTTCTCCATTGCCTTTCTGGACTCTTTAAATGTTCCGTCTGGGCGTTGGAGTGCAATGATGTTGCTCTTGTAATTGGCGAAGCTTCGGTAAGCTTTGCGAATGCTTTTTCTAGCCTGTGTAGCTACGACCATTACTGCTGCTCTTCTCTCTTTGCGATGTTCTTTTATCGCCTGTCTGCATTGTTTTGCAAGTTCGGACGTTAGTTCGTGGTTGCCTGCAGCCCGTGCGATTCCACGCTGGCGTATCAGCTCGAGTGTTTCTGGAGACAGACGTCTCTTGGTGACTTTCAAACTCTCAGCTTTCATAGCGCTAACGTGAAGATGTTGAGTGAGCCGATCGTATTCTTCGTCGACGCTATCGACAACGGTGTCTTCCCAATAGCCGACTAATGAATTGAATAATTCCCAGTTTACGGTGGTTCTGGGACTTCGGTTTTTGAATTTATCGGTTTTTTCTCGTTTCCGTGAGAAATAGAATCTTGCACGAAAGGAGGCGATGGTCTTATCCTGTATAGAATTTTGGGACAACAGCGACATCAGTTAGGCAAAACCTTCTGTTTACTATGATGTGGTCTATTTTATGGTGCTCTCCATTGGGAAGCTCCCACTTCCAGCGTTAGGGGTGAGGCTTTTGGAATTGCGAGTTACCGTGGATGGTCTTGGTCGTCATAATGAACTCAGATAGCCGCTCACCCTGTTCGTTCCATTCTAAACCATGGGTACCAATGTCACGTTCTTCAGACGTTCTTCTTGATCCACTCTTGGCGCTGAAATCCCCAGTGATGACCTCGAAGAATGTATGGTCTTCTCTATAGTACTTCTCCAAGTCCATATAGAACGCTTCGACTTCTTCTTCGTCATAGTTTGATGTCGGCGCTTAAACGATGAAGATTGTCAAAGCCGTTATTGATTCACATCTTTCTAATCGTAAACGTACGATTTGGGATGTTAGTTTTTCAAATGAATCAATGTTCATGGACAAACTCGTGTTGAAGAGAACGCTGACGTCACTTGATTGCAGGCTTTTGGCCGAATTGACTCGTAGAATACAATCTGCATAAACTAGAATGCACCCACACATGGGTGCATGAATACTCTTCGTAAATACAGAAAGTATGTACCAAATCGGGGCGGCAGAAACAGCGGGTCCATCCTCTGGATACATCTGCGTCTCAGGGAGCAAAGGTCGCTTTTGGTCGGCGATTAACCCCCTTTCCGCCACCCTGGGACGCACCACGTAGACTGGCGACTAACCGGCTATTGGGATCCCTATGACAGAGATCCGTGGCTGTTCTTCTCAGGTCTTATAAATACGAAAAGAACCACAAAATAGTTGTGCAAAAACACATTTGAATCTTATGTGGGTCGTATTGCTTCCAGCATGTTGAAGAAAATGCTTATTTCCAAGACCGACTTTTTATTAACCTCACCATTGATTGACAAGTCGTTGTTTTCTTCAATAAGAAGACACGAGGTTGGTATTACAGAACTTATTAGGATACAATATCTGACGTTTCAGCTATTTCGCCTTCTTCAGAGCTGTTTATTCGTTGCAAGTATTCCAAGCACGTTGTTTTCTCTTTCAGAAACGTTAGCGAACACGAACTGAGAAAGGTTAGTGATGGAAAGCGTGTGGGATCCAAACAGGTCGCACCTTATAGGTAAGATTATTATTCCATTTCTTCGTATTCGTCAACGGTATTTAACTTTTCCACTATTAAGAGCACATTCGACCTTTATGGCACTCTATAGTAGTTAGGCAAGGTTTACTAGGTACTGCGGTTTAAATTCGACCTCCATACTCCTAGTAGAAATGCCTAATTTGACGAAAAGCTTAACATTTCCATCCAGAACCCCAATAAAAAGTAACCTAATGTTGACAGTCACTATTTTCCTGGAGTTTCCATCGAAATGGGTCGTTAACTGCCTACTGTGACTGTGTCTAGTAAGGCTAGGACATGGCTGTCCAGGAATTCCAGCGATAAACTTCCCAAGCAGCAAAATACTGGTAGCACTGGCCTATTTTAGGGCAATCGTTACGGATCGGTGTATTATTGGTGTTTGGTTGTCGTCTTTCGGAGGAAATGTTGGCTTCCAAACATTTTTACTTTATGGCCCAACTTATATGAACAAGGTTTGTTTGCAGTTTTTAACACTATTGAAACTCATGGCTTTCGCTGTTGATCTAGACAAAGTATGTTTGAAACGACAAAAAATCGGATAAGTATAGTTAACTGCAAGGGTTGAAGTGTCATTGCCAACAAAGAAAGGACCAAGAAAGACGAGAACCCCACATCTTGTATGAATCGCGGAAAAGTATTCTTACAGCAATTATCAGCGACTTGTGCAAATGATACATATCGATTTTTGAGAAGCCGCGTTAGGTCGTCAACTACAGCCAATCGATGCCCCTAAATCCTTGTCGTTGCAGTGTTTTTTGTGTAATCGAATAAAATAAAAGTAAAAGTCGTCTAGGGTATTTGTGGAACTTTGAACAACATGAGTTCTGACATAATTCTCTAAAATGCGTTAAACATTTTTTATTTCATGTTCTCCATTTCAACGTCACATCAACCGGCTTCGTGACGGCTTTACCGTACATTCTATCGATGGTGGTAAAGTTCGCGGTAGGACCTATCTCTGACAGAGCCACATTCGTTTCGGACAGATTGTGTTTGATCTTTTTTGCTGTTTTTTCTCAGGGATCGATGGCTATGGCAATTTTCTCCTTAGCGTTTGTAAGTCGGTTTTACGTTGAAACTTTTTAAAACTCTCCACTTATTTTCTGTCATTTTTTTATTTATTTGGTTCTTTAGAATCATAGCAAGTATGTAGATTATAGGGCGCGTGTGGCGCAGTGGTCGGAGGCGCTCTGCAATACACAGGTGAGTCGATCCCGGCGCCCATGGTCCACTAAGCCCTCCATCCCTCCGGGATCGAAAAATTGGTACACATCGGTAGGCCACCGCGAATAAAGGCCAGATATGCATTCAATGACTTCGAAACAATGCTTAATGAAATCGAATGCATGGTGCATACCTCAAGGATTGGTCAATGGCGAGAGCTTTATTCTTTTATCCTTTATCTAGGTTATGTTCAGAAAGCTCCGACTTGCAAAAGGTATCGTGAATAACAAATAATATTCTAGTAAAGTGAGAGGAAAGAGTGTAGAAATAAATCGAACTTATAGTAACTATAGCAAATCTTGGGATCGGCTTTCTTTAAACCTCGGCATCGATCAATAACGCACTGTTCTTCTCTACGGGTAAACACGAGGTTTTTATTATTTTAGAATTTATTAATGCACAATAGCTGACGTTTTGGCGGTTTCGCCTTCTCCAGAGCCTAGAAAGGTGAGATTAACATGCAATCTATTCAACCAAACGCTTTCATAACGTCTCCGGATGAAACTTTACATGCAAATTTTCGTTCAGCTTTTTAAAACTCTCCACTTATTTTCTGTCATTTTTTTATTTATTTAGAATACTAGGATGACCATGTTAGGTCGATCTCATATCTTCACCAGCCGACATCCTCTGTCGATTGCAGGGATAAGACTTCGGATAAGTCTGAGTCATTTTCCCCACCTCGACGGAATGGATTCTTTTAAAAACCCACCGTTTTATTCTTTCCAAGTATTCCAGTTAATTGCTGGAGAGCAGCCGCACAGAGTAATACATGGGCGAGGGATGTGCTTAGGTCAGGTCATAGGATCAGCCTGAGGTATAGCGCGAAGTCACCCGTGACCATAGCACATTACTCCTTGTGGTTCATTTTTGGATTTTTGAAATAAACACAAAAGGCTTTAAGGGTTTTACGTGCTGATGTTTTGGATTCTTGTTCGAGGATAGTGACTCGTGCCTCAAAATCTTCTCGTTGTTTCTCTAAGAAGCCATCTACTAGGCAACCGCTTGTGTGACCGTCTATGAGAACGCAAATTTGCATAACATGCCATTACAGTAGAGACGGTGATTGGATGAGTTAGGCTACGGTTTATTCGATCTCTTATAAAGAGTGTGGGAACAAATACATTGGTGAAATGGCTACACCACTTTGCATTCGTATAAATGAACACGTGGTCGGTAAACTTAAAGTTCAATCGAATACTCCACTAGAAGCCCTTAAGACACGAAGGCATAAAAGAGGTGGTTTTGAAGTAAAAGTTGCCATTCCCACACAGGTGTTCAAAAAGTCAGCGCGTAAAACTCTTGACACGTTTTAGATGAATTCCAAAAATCCAAAAATGAACAGCAAGGGGATCACCTTGTGATCACGTGTGATCTCGCGCCATAGCTAAGATCGATTTTTTGATCCGATTCAGGCATATTCCTCGCTCAGGTAGGACTCCGTGCGGCTGATCTCCACGGAATAACTGGAAGACTTGCGAAGAACAAAAACGATGGTTGTTTAAAAGAAGCCGTTTATGATGCGAGTGAAATGTGTGCTACGTTTCATCTACTGAGGTTATAACAGTGTTTGGCTGAATGGCTTGCATGTCAATTTGGCCCTTCCAGGCTATGAGGAAGGCGAAACACACCGAAATGCCAGTTGCTCTGAATGAATAAAATCTGTAATAACCGCGTGTTTGCTCACCAGGAAAGGAGTGAATTACAAGAAATGCAAAATTTTCATGTTGCATGGTTTCAAATTTTTTGCGATTAGGGAAGTATACATATTGATTTTGCTCAACAACTCCTCTCCCTGTAGGAGCATTGTGAAAGGTAAAGTGTATGGTGTTCAGTGTTGATATATCACTAACGGTTACTTCATGCATTTGATTCAGTTCGTAGCATCCTCAGGTGATATAGATGCTTCATCTTCATATCAACCTTATGTTTCCTAAAAATCTATCAACTCAGTGTTTTCGCCTTCCAAAACAGCTCTAATACCAATTCAGTGACACCGGAGGAACGGTGGGTTTGGTTTGGATAGAGTGCGGGGTCGAACCAAGGACGATGTGTGTTGCAATTCACCTTCTAACCCCTGCTCTAAATCCGCTCTTGATTTTATCATATTATCTTACTGCTCAGAGATTTCAATAGATAAAGTCAAAACAAAATAAATACTGTCTACTTATACTTCAGATCAGAAAGCAAGGATTGGCTCAACTCGCTTACACTCTGTCGATTGTGTTCAGTGGTGTAAATGTAGTGGGTACGATAAAATGCGCACAAATGGTGAGATAACTTTCCTGTGCTATTGTTCTTTTTTGGGTGTAATGTGGTCAAAGGTTAGGAAAACAAGGAAGAATAGAGAGAGGGAACAGTCAATATGATGAAAGAAAATGCAAAGAGGGAATTCAGTCGAAAAAGAGAGAGGAGGAACAGAAGAAGAAAAAGAAAAGCGAGAGCGATTTTTTTTTGCTTAGTGTTTATTCATAAATTGATAATTAGACGACTTTCGCCTAATATTGATCGTTTCTTGACCTTTTTTGTCACTTATCTTTTTTTTGTTTGTGAGCTTTCGCAAGATCAGAAAGCGTTCGGCGTCGCCATCCGGAAGCCTTGCTAGAAGTAAACCTATGCCACGGCAAAGTAACTTCCGACGACTAATTCCACGTCAAAAGCAGTAGAACGGAAAGGTGTGGCACCAAAGAGTACAAGCTGCACACCCAACACCGTTGGATTGCGCAGTTCAGGGGCCTTCGGAGTCTATTTCAAGACTCAAGAAAATGCATATCGAGAATGAGACATGAATAACGTGATCGTAAAATCGGAAGGTGATGGTATACCGACGAGAAGGACGGTAAAAAGATAAAAAAGAGCGGAGCTCTCGTCATTGATCAATCCTGAGGGATGCGTTATATATTCGACTTCATTAAGCTTCGTTTTCGCTTTTAGACTTCTTTGGAGGTGATTCCATGAATATTTGGCGTTTAAAATAACTCGCGGTGGTCTACCGATATATCAAGCCAGTGCTGCTATCCTCCCAGATAAGCTTGCTACCAACTTGTAGACTCCGGAGATATGGAGGACCTTGGAGAGCCACGGGCGCTGAGATCGATCCCATGTGTATTGCAGGTGTTTCCGACCACTGCTCTACACGCGTTATATGAACGCTAAAGTTATATCCTCTTCAAAACTCAAGAGCGGTAAGGTAACTGTAATACCCAAACATGCGCACATTCTTCTGGGTCACGACAACGACGATGCCCTGCCAACGTAATGATTACAGCTGTCATGCAACACAAACTGGCTCGGTCTGTGGTTCGATTTGGCGCACTGTATTAATTACGTATTCCTTCTCTCCATGGTTGGCAAGTCGTTACTAAACTTATCTAGGAGAATAAGGTATAATCTTCGCTTGATAGAACGGTAGGCCACCCGCAAATTATTGTATAGGTCTGATATGCATTCAATCAGCTCTCCTATGCTGCGATTGGAATCCGATGCATGGCTCATTTCTCGGGGATCGATCAATGCTGAACGCTTTATATATATTTTCTCTTTAGCCACGTCAACCATATGTGGTCGAGAGAGTTGAAAACGATTGTTGATAGATCACAGAATGTACATTTCGTTGCCATACTGGAAGCAGATCCTCCCATTCATGAGTGAAAGTCGCAAGGGAAGGAAGCAGACGAAAAATGTATAAAAAAACAATATGAACCGCGTGATTCATGAAGACGATTTGTCCAAATATCTTTCTAGATAGGGCGCGTGTGGCGCAGTGGTCGGGGGCGCTTTGCAACACACACGTGGAATCCATCCCAGTGCCCATGGCCCACCAAGTCTTTCATTCCTCCGGGGTCAGCAAATTGGTACCAAACTTGTCTGAGAGGATAGCAGCACTGACTCGATACATCGTTAGGCCACCGCGAATTCATTCAACCACCTCCAAACGATACTTAATGAAGTCGAGTGCATGACGCATCCCTCAGGCATAGATCAACGCCGAAAGCTTTCTCCTTTATCCTTTATCTGTCTAGATGTCATTTATTAGCTTTGCGAGTATTAGAGTGTTAAACAAATAAGTTTAGTTTTTTACAGGTGGCGCGACAACATGTACACATCGTTATGGCGGTGATTTCATTCCTTCTCTGTATCATTATTCTTCTCATACCAGTTGCGGTTAATATTGTTTGTCCAGATAATACACCAGAACAGGTACACACAATTCAGCATTCCGTCAGTGATTCCTGATCTCTTTATGTTCATCGGCGCACACACTTCTCCTTATTTTTTTCCGTTTATTCATGTTGGAATAAGGTATCTCGGGTTGAAAACCATCGGAAGACATCGATCGTAACGTCGATGTTTTTTTTGATAGCATTTGAGAATACACTCAGTGAAAATCGGAAGCGAGAAAACCCTGCTGCAGGCCACGCAAGCATCCTTTTCTTCCAGGTTTCACAAATTGATGCCAAACAAGCTTGGAAGCTTTCTGAAAGCGACCTCCGATCTGGAAAGGCCGCAAGTGCCTCTATAGTGAAGAACTATGCGTGCTCCATCGCCTCTATTCCTGGATTCCAAGAAGAATCGACTCGAGCAGGATTCAACGATATTCTTGAGGAAGACATATGTATTCCTCAAACTGCAGCCGAATCCATACATAAATCCGAAAAACCTGGTATAGTTGCGCAAGAGTGTTTCCACTTGGATTGCAGGAGGCGAGCTCTTCCGAAGAAAGTCTTGCTCCACTTCCCTATGAAGCTTGATGGGTTCGGATCTGGGTCGAACCAGTGCTGCTCTTGGAGTGAACGGCGTCATTACCACTGTGCTAATCGTGCCCTTAGAGTGCATTATATTCACCGAAAGTTTTTTCAGTGGGAGAAATTGAACTTTCATGAACTCGGGGTCTTTCATAGCCAGTTTCATGATGGAGAGCACAAAATAACGTACAGTGTTGAAGCTTTCCACGAAGAAAGTATAGCAATAACTGTGGTGTTCGTCACTTCTGCAAATTACCAGAATGTTTATTATTATTTCTATTTGAATGTGATTTGCCAAACTATCGTGAAGTACTGTTACTTTTAATGAAAAGTTTTTAGTGGTCTCGTTTTTTCCTCGGAGTGAGTGCGATTGTTTTTCTATCAAATATTCCGTTTCCATTCGTGGCTCGAAGTGATCCTGCTCCGTGGACTAGTGATAAGGTTAGTAGCTTTATTGATTAGGTACGTGAAACAAATCAACGGAATTTGCAACAAAAACGACAACAACAACCGAAGAGGTGATCCAAGATCGCTTCCACCTAACTCGTCTCAGATTGTTCAACGCATCGCGCGTACTCATCTGTTAAGCATGAAAGAGCGGTAATTGACCATTGGCGTGACAGCGAAGCCACTAAGTGTGTAACATGTTCTCCATTAACTCAGCTGTACATAGTTTTTTTACATATGTTTTTTTCCATGTTTTATTGATCTGCATCTACAAATATGAGTTCAGGTACACGTTCTACCGGCTAAGATTGAAGTAATCGTAGTAAACGATGAGAAACAAGAAGAAAGAACTTAGCACATTGTTAAGCTGTTCGTGAATAAAGTCTTTGTTTTCGCGTTTGCGTTCATGGCTATCCAAAACTCAACTGAGAACATATTAAGCAGTTGAAGCAATAAAATAACCAATCAAAAATCTTATGAATAGTCCCACATTTTCCTAAAGAGGAGCTGAGCAGATTGTGACAGCGTATACTGTTATGTGATATTGACAAATTAGTACTAAAATATCGAAAACTATTGCCTATTAGTACTGAACATAGAAGCTAAGCACACACACGTTGCAAAGAATATGCTGTCAATAGGTAGAGATGTCGGTTATCACGAGCATGGTACTAGTTCGATTCCGCTCCGGGCCAAGCAGGCCTCTCATCACTCCGGGGTCGGAGTATTGGTACCGGACTTCTCCGGGAAAAAATTAGCCTCTGCAGTCCAACTGGGAACGCTCCAGCCCGGCTATCTCAGGCATCCAGGGAGAATCGACTCGATCAGCATTCTAGGACATTCAAAATGGAATGAAAATCCTATAGTAGCTGAAACTAAACTAACAAGTTGGAAGATCTTCGTAGATAATGGATGCGAGGAAACTAGTTGAATGTGAGATGTCCTGGGATCCGAACAATAGACATGAAGATGGGTCACTTAAAAAATAGAGAAAAACAGCCACATAGTACGTTCGTAGAGGTACATAATCTTCCCCTCACTTGTGTGACATGGGATATTCCCAACATCGTGCTCTAAACTGTTAATTCAATAATGTTAAGTGATCTTCTATTCTGCCTATGCAGCGATCAGGTTTTCGACGATAGCGTCAACTCATGGAGAATGGTAGATCCGAAAAGATGGGTAGGGTGTTGGGCGTTTTGCACTGTTCACAACATTCTCAATTGTGCTTTTGAAAGCTCATAAGGTCTATTCCTTACCGCTGTCTATCTCTGAAGATAAATCATTTATTAGTAAAACCGGATGGTGTTGTACCGGTTCCCTTCTTGGTCTTTGCAGCTCCATGCAGTTCTCGTGGCTTAAAATACGCTTACAGAGCTTCTCTGAAGAGCTTTCGATAGTTACAGAATAAATTCGTAGTTAGTAGTTATAGAGTAAATTCGCACGGCTGCATTTTCATTTGTCAGCTCGGATATTACTGGAAAGAAAAGAGCCTAGGTGAGTTTCAGCCTGCCATATTTTTAAACAATGCTTGAACATTTTAGATAAACCAGTCATACCGATGATTTCGGTAACGTTATCTTCACAAAAGCTTAGTGAAGATAATAAAAGAAGTAAAATGATAAGGTTCTCGTCGTTGATCAATCCCTGAGGGATGTGCCAATGCATTCCACTTCACTAACGATTGTTAGAGGTGATTGAATGCATATATGCACTTTCAGTGGTCAATCGATGTATCCACTCAGTACAGCTATGCCCCTAGATAGGTCTCGTATAAATTTGCCGCTCCCGGAGAAGCGCCGGATCTAACCCATGTGTACAACCTCTAACCACCTCTCTACAAACGCCCTCGTTTCTAAAGATGTGAATAAATATTACTTTTCAATGGCTTGGGATTCGTGTGAGAGGCATGCATAGCGATGTGGTTAGAGTAAGTACTTTGATAGGTTAAAAACAACGAGGTCGACCTGTTCGCCAAATATGTAAGAGTACACCCTCAATGACCTTGACAAAGTATAACTTTACGACGATCGGAAAAAAAAAACGCTTGGAGGTCTAATTCTCTCAATGAATGGTTTCTCAATAACAACTTATTTGCACCGAGACACGACCGATTTCTAAGGGCTGTGTTTTTCTTTAAACAAGAAGATATGAGATTTACGTACCACTGACTTTTCTTCAGCATAAGAAGTGCGCTTACTGACTCTGTATTGTAAAAAAAAGAACCTTTAAGAAATCTTCCTCTTGGATTGTTTGGAAATTAACACACGGTTTCACAGTTGTGTCTTTAAAGTGTGACCTAATCGGACACGATGAGGCGGAACAAATTCATGATTTCACGTGTGCAGCATCACCACACTTCCCACATTTCCTTTTTTCTATAGATCCACAAAATCGATTGTCATTGAACATCTAACGTTTTTCATGTGTTTATTCTATCGTGTAAAGTAAATTTCGATAGAAAGAAGAAATATTTCGCGCTGACCAGAAATTAGTGACTGAATTCAACTTGTATTTGTAAAGTGCTATGCCTCAATCTAACCTTTATTTATCGAAAAAAACCCATTACCACTCGCATATTTTTCATGGAGAAACAAATTTACTTGTATTAACTGCATAACTATGGGGCGCATAGCACAGTGGTAGTGATGTCCGTCATCACGAGCATGGTGATAGTAAGATTCTACTCCAGACCAACCAAGCCACTCATCTTTCCGGGGTGGGAAAAATTGATACCGGACTTGTCTGAGGAAAAACCGCTTTCTGCAAACCAATTGGGAACGCTCTAGCCCGGCTATCTCAGGACTCCAGGGAGAATTGCCCGACCAGCCAGCATTCTACGACAATCAAGATGAAAACGAAATCCTCGAACAATAACCGAAGCCACACGTAAAAACTTAGAAGACCTTCGTAGACGATGTATGCAAGGAAACGAATTGGATGTGAGAAGTGCTGGGATCCGCACAGTAGACGTGAAGACGAATCAAATTAAATAAAATGAAATAAAACCACAAGATTACTGAGATATTTGCAAAACTCCGGACAGCAGATGTATGCGGTGGGGAACGAACGCGCTGTTGTCCTTTCCGGGGAGTAACGCGTTCACCACCACACCATGCGGGTCCTTCGTTTCGCCTGTCTCTCAGCTAGCTCTATCGATCAGTGCCGTAAGCAATCATCAGTCAATCGATAGAACTAGCTGAGAGAGGCGAAACGAAGGACCCGCATGGTGTGGTGGTGAACACGTTACTCCCCGGAAAGGACAATAGCGCGTTCGTTCCTCATCGCAGACACCTGCGGTCCGGAGTTCTGAAAATATCTCAGCAATCTTGTGGTTGTATTCCGCTTAGTACCCTGTCATAAAAACTATAGAAGGCAGAAAATAAAAAGTAAAGCATAAAATGAAAGAAATAAATTGCACAAAATTCTGGACATCTACAGAAGATAAAGTTATTGACGGCAGTTTCCGACCACGCCTTGGTTCTTGAGGCATAAGAAGTTGTCAAGATGTTTGACGTAGGGGTACTCGGTAGGCGAGAGGTTTGAAGAGTATGGTTGGCAAGGCAGAGTTTCGTAGCCAAGCTCGTTCATACATTGCGGCATTGGTAGTGCGATATGCTGCAAATTCGTACGACATCCGTTTGTTGATCGTTCTCGACCTTCGAGTTTTCTCTGGATGATCCTGAAAAATTAAGACGCCAATACTGAACTCTTCTTTAAGTTCTCGAAGAGTTTTGGAAGTATTTGCTTGCGAAAAAAGCCTTCAATTCAGCGTCGTCAGTCGCGGAACGACTTTCGCAACCTTCCTTGGCAACAGGGAAATTCTCCGAACCAATGACACTGTGCACTTGTTAACTTCCATGGCTCCACATGCTACTAATGTTTCGAGCCGTTTGCACTACACTACGCCGTCGTTTGAATTCGCGAAAGTGAATTTGTGGAAATGGCTGTTTTGACACTGAGATTCGAACCTTTAAAATTCTTCAGAAATAAAATTTGCATAGCAATTCAATTGTATAGATAGAAAATACATAAAACACGCTTTCCACTGACGTGTAATGGTAGAGCATTCAAAAACAAAATGTTGTTAAGTCACCAAAATTACAAATCGTACATTGATTTTCGAACAACCAAATAATTACATTTGGAGAAGCACAGCGAAACCACTAAAGGCCAATTTGCTCAGCCAAAGGACAGGAATCCTGCGATTATCTCCTCGCCATAAAGAGTAAAGATAGAGAGTCCTATAGGAAAGAGTGGTGGTTTTCGCATCGTGTCAATAAGCAGTGGGCGCCCTGGCACGCAACAGGAGCAAATGGAGAGTCTAGTGGTGTGATACTCGAGTACTCAGTCATTAACACAATTGCAGATGATACACGTGATACACATACATCATCTGAGACGTTGGATGTTTCGGACTAAAAGCCCGAATTCTTCACAGAACAATGTAATATTTCGTCATAAATCGAGACATAAAACTTTGTAAGTCTTCAGTTGTGTTCAGAGTTGGCCTTGAATTTGGAACGTTGTAGTAGGCGTTTCAATTCAAGAAAGTGAACATCTGATTTATTCGTTCGTTTAATCGGTTAACAAAACTCCGCCTTCGAAAGTTTTCATAGCTCTTGTCACCCCCATTTGCGAAACGTCGTAAAGGTCAGCCCGACTCTGAAAAAAATGAACCGCTTCGTACTCCTAGCGATTTTTATATTGTTCACGGCTCAGATAGAGGCTTATTACTACTACGGTTATCCATACTACTACGGTAGTTCATACAACTCCTATCCTCCATACCCCTATTTCTATCCTGTCCACTACTCCAGTAGTAGTAGTGGTGGTTATCGTAAGTTGTGATAATTTCCATGTGAAGCTTCTTTTCTAAACTTCTTTATTCGATTACAGCTTGGTGGAGAAGAGCTGCAGCAGGAGCAGTGCTTGGAGGGCTTATTGGAGCTGCTGTTGGAAAGAAGTAGAACAAGGTGGTTCGGACAATTCTAATGGAATGATTATGTGTTCTT